GATATTGCATGTTTGCTGCCGTTGATCTCTTCTGTATTTACCTCTTCTGGGCTTATTTTCCCTGGGTCAGCAGCTGGAGGCTTTTTCTCTTTTTTCTCTTGCCATGTTTCTGGTTTCTTTCAGACAGGTGTATGGTGGAGATCTGAGGCCATTTCATATTGCTTACAGTTTTTCTGAGGCATGCTGTCTCGGGAATTGCTCCCTTCTCCAGTTTACTATTCATCTAAGGTACACACAGGGATGATGTGGGCTGGCCCCTCTACTCTGAGCGAGTCAACAGGTAAGTATCTTCACCACGTTATTCTGTGCTGTGCAGAAGTCACAGGTTCGGGGCAGTTTCATCGCTATCTATTGGGTCCCAACTGGGGGCGTGTCCCCAACCAAGCAGAACCCACCAGTCCTCTTTGGGCCAGGGACGGCTGGCTGATGCCACTGTGGTTCTGGGTTCAGGCCCATTCTGCCAAAGTCAAATATGTCATCCAGCCTGTCTCCCCGCTCCACGGGACCCAATTCCTAGCACTCACCATGGATCAATGCAGTTCTCCACATTGGTTCTGCTCTCCATTGTGCTGAATCCTCCCCCCAAGGGCTCTGGATTTACCAACTCTCGATTTTGGTGGTGTAATTTCAGCGTGACTCTGAGTTGCCGGACTCCAAGGTGCATGTCCAGCACAGCATCGGACCAGCCCTAATGAGAGCGTCTGGTTCTAGCCTTTTGTCCATGTTTTGTCTTCTTATTTTTCTTTTTTCTCATGTTCTTCCTGGGTTGTGAGAATCCATCTCCTTTCATCTGGTCTTCTCCATGGTGTTAAATTCTAGCATCTGAGTTGTTTTTCTCACAAAGACTCTTTACCCTGCTACCTATCAAGCTGCTGTCCTTAGGCCCTTACCCAGCAACCATTATGTAGTACTGTGTCTCCCAAAGCCAGGATTCATGGCTCTAGGAATCAAGGAGGGGGACTGAGAATGGTACCACTCACTGTGACCTATAGTGGTATATTAGCAAAAACTTGCATCATGTTCTCATGATCTTAAGTTCTGCATGCTCAGAAAGAAGTTTTACTTCTAGAAGTGGGAGGATTTGCACCAAGAAGAACAGTGACACCAATGAGCTGGAAGTGAAGAGTTACTCCTTGTTGTTTTGGTCTCATGAATTGAGGAAAGAAACTAAAATGGGAGTGACACTGTTGAAAGTGGTGACTGACACAGACTGTCAAGGGAAAATCAGATTATTACTCCAGAATGGATGAAAAAAAAAAAGGGTACCTGGAGTGAAAGAAGTTTCTTAGTATATCACCTCAGATTGTCATGCTGGTATTAAAGTCAATGGGAAAGTATAATTATCCAATCCAGGCAGAAGGTCAAATAGTTCACAGACTTCAGGAATGAGGGGAAGGGTCCCTGTATCAGGGAAAGAACCAAGACCAACTGATTTTTCAAAGAAAAGGAATACAGAATGCATCTTACAAGCAGTTCTAAATAGGAGTTACGGCACTATGATCAGCTACAGAAATGAGGACTAGGCAGTTGTTTCCTAACATCCTTACAATGTAATATGTTGACAGTCTTTAACATTGGTTGTTTCTTATTAACTGTATTATAGTGTTCAAATTATGCAATGTTAAAAGAAACACAGAAAATTGCCCTATTCTGGGCAGAGGATTTAGTGCATTTCTACTTGTAGACAGGACAGTATGGAAAATATAATTATGAACTCACCTTTGTGTCTAGAGACAACTCCTAAAGAAATGTGTGTAGTTGTGATGTTTATGGGGGGTGGATAGTGTCAGTTCACTGACTGCCAAGCTGAGTACTACTTGAAGAACTAAATTTGCCCAGCAAATTATGGATGGGGGAGACCTACGCTAGAAAAGATTGTTGACAGACTGTCACAAAAAAACAACAAAGACTTCCCATGTGTTTTTGTGGAGGACCTCCAGTGTTCACTGTCACATTGCAAGTCATGTCCCAGCTTCCAGACTTTTGTACAACACATCATTCTGTCTTATGGCACAGACATTTTGATCTCTGGGGGCACAATAGTGGGCTTCACGACTGGAACTGGATTGTTTGCATATCCAGTGCAGACAGACTGTTTTCATTCATCCACATCTGAGTGTGTGTGTTGACACTGAAAGACACTCTTGTACGTGCTTATGTAATGGTGTATCTCACATTAAAACTGCTTCTCTAAGAAGCAATGACTGACAAACTATTACAGTTCATGATATCCTTTATTACAAGGGTACAGTTCATCCCATGTGTCTCAGTCAGAAACACACAGCAGTATCGTTTGCTATATAAATTGTGGTAAAATAACCATCAAATTCAAGTTATAAAACATAAACATGAATATAAAATATTGATGGTAAGAAAACATTTTCTGTAAATCATGATGTTGTTTTCAGTATGAAAGCAGAATAGGTGAAATGATATGCTTTATATAATTATGTTGGAATGTAAGCAGGTATCTAATTAGGACATGAAAAATACAACATGTGGTGACCCACAAGTTATGTGTAAAAAAATGAGTTTTTGGGGGTGTGGGTTTAGCTCAGCAACATAAGTGCCTGCCTTAAAAGCAGGCAGTCATGAGTTCGATTCCCGGTACTGATAAAAAGGAAAAAGACAAAAAAAAAATTTTAAAGAAATGAGTTTTAAAAAATAAATTCTTCATTGGTTGGTATTTGGCTCAGTGATATAAGCACATGCCTGAGAAGTGCAACGTCCCGAGTTTGATTCCCAGTATACACACACACACAAAATGCTTGCATATCTAAATTCCCAGACATTTACATATATATCAATAAATTTAGGTTTCTAGTTACGTCATGAAATATACATTTGGTGATCTGCAAGTTGTGTGGAAATATATGAAGTTTTTAAAAATATATGTACATATCTCTAAATATGCATATTTACATATATATCAGGAAGTTAAAGCTATCATTGTGTATACAGAATATGAATTGTACACAAGAAATTTAAATTAAGGCTAGTAGGACTTCCCAGTTCAAAACTATTAATAAAATGGATGGGAGACTGCTTGGGAATAGTGGGTGCTGTAGGCTTAAAAAAAAACTATTAGGGGGAGAACCAGCAACATCTCCTGAGATCCACGCCATGTTGGAAATTAGGACCCTGGGAAGCCAAGCAAGCACCTCCCCTCCGTGGTAAGCAGAGGCAGTGTGGCAGACTGCAGCCCTTCCAGGGGGAGAATCAGCAGTGTCTCCTGAGATCTGCGCCATGTTGGAACTTAGGTCTCTGGGAAGCCAAGCAAGCACCTCCTCTCCCTGGTAAGCGGGGGCAGACTGCAGCCCTTCCAGGGGGAGAATCAACAGTGTCTTCTGAGATCCACGCCATGTTGGAACTTAGGACCCTGGGAAGCCAAGCAAGCACCTCCCCTCCCTGGCAAGAGGAGGCAGTGGGGCAGACTGCAGCACTTCCAGGGGGAGAATCAGCAGTGTCTCCTGAGATCTGCGCCATGTTGGAACTTAGGACCCTGGGAAGCCAAACAAGCACCTCCCCTCCCTGGTAAGCAGAGAGAGTGGGGCAGACTGTAGCCCTTCCAGGAGGAGAATCAACAGTGTCTTCTGAGATCCACGCCATGTTGGAACTTAGGACCCTGGGAAGCCAAGCAAGCACCTCCCCTCCCTGGTAAGAGGAGGCAGTGGGGCAGGCTGCAGCGCTTCCAGGGGGAGAATCAGCAGTGTCTCCTGAGATCTGCGCCATGTTGGAACTTAGGACTCTGGGAAGCCAAACAAGCACCTCCCCTCCCTGGTAAGCGGAGACAGTAGGGCAGACTGCAGCCCTTCCAGGGGGAGAATCAGCAGTGTCTCCTGAGATCTGCGCCATGTTGGAACTTTGGACACTGGGAAGCCAGGCAAGCACCTCCCCTCCCTGGTAAGTGGTGGTGGTCTGGGTGACTGCAGCCCTTCCAGGGGGAGATCCAGCAGCAGCTCCTGAGATTCGTGCCATGTTGTAACTGAGGATGCTGTGAAACCAAATGACCATCCTGCCTCCCTGCTAAGCAATAGTGAACCTACTGCTACATGGCCTAGAGTCAAATATCCCACTTCCCCTATCCTCCCCCCCCCACTAGCAAATGTGAGCCAGAAATCTGAGAGTCTCCTGGGAGGTTGACCATAGCAAATAAGGGGGACTTCTTTCTACCATTTCTTTGAAGGCAAATATTTTTATTACTGTTTTGCTCTTTTCTGATTAATAGTACTGCTGTATTCAATATTGTTTTGATAAGTTCTATAGTGTTCTATATTTCATCTCATTTTGATATACGTGGTTGAAAGAACAACTATTATAAAGATAACAAAATACACTGTGATACCTATTACTGTTATCCCGGTAACCTGCTGTGAAGTTCTGTACCAATTTCACTCTACGATCTTATTTGGCTTTATTCTGACTTGTTCTGTTGTATAGTTTCAAAATAAAATTTTTAAAAAAACTATTAATAAAATTTATTTATCAGACTATACCTCACCATACTTAAAAAAAATAAATTCAAAACTCCTTATATAGTAATCCTACTTAGAAATGACAAATATATTTCACTTCAACTCAACACATTAGAAAATACTATATACTAGGTTTATTTCAAAGTTGCTTTCTTCTGTAAAAAAAAAAAAATACTATATACTAGTTTTAAAGACTGGCTTACACAAAAATATTTTTTTTCCAGTTTTTTTTTATCGTTAACAGGGATTGAACTCACGACTGTTTGCTTGTAAGGCAGGTGCTTATGCTGCTGAGCTAAATCCCCAACCCCGGATATTGTTTATTTTGTTAATGGCGTTATTTTTTGGGGGGTTTACCAGGGATCAACTATTGACTGCACGCTTGCCAGGCAGGCACTTGTGCCACTAAGCTACATCTCCTGCCCCCCAAATTGTATCATGTCAATATTGTTTGTAGTAACGACTATAAATATTTCAGTTGTAAAGTGATTTTTCTGAAAAACAGACAGAATACTTTCCAGGAGATGTGTATCTAGCAATGTATTTTCTGTAAAGCCCATGAAGATATACTGACATCAAATTTTATTTTTCAATGTGTACAAGTCTCACTACAGGAGGAATTTTCACCCTTTTTTCCAAATAGGTGTACACAGATAGGGTCAGTCTCCAGTGAATTCTTCCATGTAGCTGATAAAAAATGTGTTCACTGAATTCTTTCTCCACATTGTTGATATACATAGGGTTCCTCCTCAGAGTGAGTTATGTATATAAATTGAAGAACTACTAGCAAATCTTTTTCTGAAACAGCTCACATGCATATGCTCCCATCTGTGAGTTCTTTCATAGATTTGACAAGATGTGTGTGTAGTAAATGTCTTTCCATATTGCTCTAACAGATAAGATTTTACTCTAGTGTGAGTACGTTCATGTCTTTTACAGCTATCCTTTCAGTGAATGCCTTCCTGCATTGCTTGCACACAAGGTTTCTCTCCAGTGTGAATTCATTCGTTTGCCTCTTACTGCATGTAAGTAGTGCCTTCCCACACTGCTTGCACACATTAGGCTTCTCCTGAGTGATTTCTTTCATGACGCTGACAATGACTGTTTGAAATGAATGCCTTTGCACAGTACTTGCATACATAAGGTTTTTCCCCAGTATGAAATCTTTCATGTATGTTACAAGAATTCCTGGTAGTGAATCCTTTTCCACATTGCTTACACACATAAGGTTTCACCCCAGTGTGAGTGAGTTCATGTCTTTGACAAGAGTGGTGTGTAGTGAATGCTTTCCCACACTGCTTGCACTCATAAGGTTTTTCCCCAGTGTGAGTTCTTCCATGTACTTGACACTCATTCCGAGTAGAGAATGCCTTCCCACATTGTTTGCACACATAAGGTTTCACCCCACTGTGAAGTCTTTCGTGTTTTTGACAATAATTGTGTGTACTGAATGCCTTTCCACAGTGCTTACACGCATAAGGTTTCAGTCCTGTGTGAATTCTTTCATGTATCTTGCAATAACCCTTTCTAGTGAATGCTTTTCCACACTGCTTGCATGCATAAGGTTTCTCCACAGTGTGAGTTCTTTCGTGTGTTTGTCTCTTACTGGGTGTAAGGAATGCTTCCCCACACTGTTTGCACATATAAGTTTTCTCCTGAGTGTGAGTTCTTTCATGACTTTGCCAACTAATGTATGTAGTGAATGCCTTTTCACAGTACTTGCATACATAAGGTTTTTCCCCAGTATGAAATCTTTCGTGTATGTTACAAGAACTCTTGGTAGTGAATCCTTTTCCACAGTGCTTGCACACATAAGGTTTCACCCCACTGTGAATTCTTTCGTGTTTTTGACAATAATTGTGTGTACTGAATGCCTTTCCACAGTGCTTGCATGCATAAGGTTTCAGTCCTGTGTGAATTCTTTCATGTACCTTGGAATAACTCTTTGAAGTGAATGTTTTTCCACATTGCTTGCACACATAAGGTTTCATTCCCATGTGATTTCTTTCATGTACTTGACAAGATTTGTGGGTAGTGAATGTCTTCCCACACTGCTTGTACACACAATGTTTCTCTTCCATGTGAATCTTTTCAAGAATTTTATACCTTTGAGCGTTGAAGGAATTTTCATATTGCTTGCTTTCATATGGTTTCCTTCCAGCGTGAATTCTTTCAGCAATTTGAAGATCAGTGGGGGTGCTGGAAGCTTTCACATTTTCCTGATCAACAACCATCTTCTCTTCAAAATGAGTTCTTTCACTAAATTCAGAGTAGGATTTCATGCACTGCTCATGTTGATAGGGTTTCTCTCCATTCTTTGTCCTTGTATGCTTCTGAAAGCACTGGAAATTACTGCAGGGTTTTCCATGTTCATTACATTTATTCAGCTTGTCTTCAAATCCCAAATACTCACGTGGCTTTCCTCCAGGGTGAGGTAAGATGGGCATATTCAATGATAAATGAACAATCATGGGCTCTCCACAAATGAAACTTTCAGCTGGCTTTAAAGCGGATTTTGTCTTGTCTTCATTAACATCTGAAGGCCAAAGGTACATGTTTTTATGTTGATTGTAAGTTTTATGTTCATACCACATTGCTTCCTTTTCATTTCTGTACAGAATCAAAACATTAATCGTGATAAAAATATCTCCATAGCAAGAATGTAGCAGCCCAAGTTCCCGCTCACTGCCTTCTAAGAAATTTTCAGAAAAATTTGGCTGATAACCCTGGAGAATGATTGCACAACACACACTTCCCAAGGATGATATTCATTGGGAAATTTAAATTGGTTTTGCAATAAGTGAGATCAAGTTTCATTTAAGTCATTGATTCCTATGTGTATAAGAAATTGCTCATTTTTGAAGCCTTATCGCAACACTCTTCCCTTTCTATCTCTTCTTAATTTTACTCCCTATTTTATAGTTTAGTATTCTATATAATAGAAAACACTTTATAATTCACATTCTGTGTCTGACTTACTGCATTTAACATTGTGAGGTGGAGTCTCATTTTGTGTGTGTGTGCATGCACTGAGTAATGAAAACTCTAAGCAATAAAATGCATATCTAGATTTTTATTTCATTTTCGATGCACACAGTGATGGGCAACTAGGTTCTTACCAGAGCTTACACACTGTGACTTATTTCCAGAAGTCATCTACTGTGAATACCCCTGTAGATTGAAATTTGAGCATAAGCACACATGTATAATTAAGACATTATACATTGAAATGATTTCAGAATATGCCTGGGGAGTTTTGACTGGATAATAAGTAAACTTTCAGTTTTACTCTTTGATACTTACATTGAATACAAAAATGGTTGTTTTATATTCCTACACCTAACACATTAGGGTGTTTAGAAAAATTTTAAAAATGACGGATCACAATCCTCTGGAAGATGTTTCCAGAATCTATTAATACACTAGCATTCATGTGCATTTTGAATGTTGCTTCTAGGTAAGCAATTCTTTACATAATGTACATCTGATTTTATATATATATATATATATATATATATATACATATTCCAGCCAAACTTAACATTTATTCTTCTCATATATGTCTGGATAATATCTAAATGCAACTTCATAATTCATGACGTTGGTCATGAAAGAATGTTTTTATACAGTATCTCTTGTTACATATCACTACTTTCCTAATATGGAATATCATTTTATTCAATGACCAGATTATAGATAATCAACCTTTATGTGTATAAGTAACATATATGATATTAAATAAATTGAAATATAACTTATTTGTAAAGATTCTTGGAATATTTCTGATCACACATTGTCTTGAGAAGTACAGCTTTTCCATTCTTATGAATGCCAATTACCTGAGCTTTCTTGAACAATTTCTGCATTCTTCCATTTGATGGCTGTCCCAAGTACTTCCTGGATTGTAGCCATAGAAACACAAACAGTCACCATATCATTATATAAAAATTAGAGGTAGCAGTTAGATTCATGGTATAATATTAACAAGACTAGTATACTGTTCAAAATAATTTTGCATTCTATTTAATGAATCTGCACCCATCACCAAGAACAAATTATCTCTAACTGTACATATGAAAAAATGATGTGTTCCTTACCTATAGCATTTATATTCCTAAATGTTTCCCACATCACATCTCTGTAGAGCTTCTTCTGAGATGAATTCAGCAGAGCCCACTCCTCCTTGGTGAAGTTCACAGTTACATCCTCCAAGGTCACTGCCTCCTAAAGAATAACATGTATTTTTCCTGAAAGAAGGTTCACACTCATACCCTGAGAACTTGAACTCCTTCAAATAAAAATTCCATGTCTACATTGCTTCTGTGTGCTACAGATAAATCAAATTAGGAAGCAATGATTGCCTGGGAGGGTTACTGAAATTATATCGTGGACTATTTCCAAAGTGAAGCCCATAGAAGTAGCCTCCAAATCACAAATTTCCAGAAAAAAGCAGGCAGAAAAGTATCAACTAAAGGGTTGTAACAGGTAACAGATTACACCTCTTTTGACATCAGGCTTTTCATATGATTGAGACACTCTTTCTTATGTTGTACATAAGCAGCATTTTGAAAACTGAACGTGTTTTTTCTTTTTGAAAAACAGTAACTGAACATTACACAAAATATACACATTGCATTTCTTATTTCGTTTTGCATTTGCAAACCAAAGAAACCAAGTGATATTTAAACTTGTGTGTCTACTTCGCTTCACTTGAAAGTGTTTTCTAGGTATAAATATTTAGCAAGTAGTTTCTCAAATTACCCTTCTTTATGGCAGAGTAGTTTGCCATTCTTCAAAATACCATCATATCTTTTTTTATCCATTCAACAGTGGATGAACATTTGGGCTAGTTTCAAGATGTATCTATTATAAACTGTGCTTGTAAAAACATGAGTGTGTATATATATCACTGTGATGTGATGCTCTTATTCTTTTACAGAGCGATCAAGAAAGGAAATAAGAGGATAAAATGGATCTTCAAGATTTTGTGTTTTGAGGTGCCTGACAAAATATTTAAACAAATAGGGGAACCATGTGATTTGCAGTAATAAAGGAGGGACATGGAAAAATGTTTTATAAATTAAGAGAAGAAGAGGGTCTCAACGAAAGTAAGTAAGGAGTGTGGAAGAAAAGCAGCAAGATATAACATGTACAGGCACATATTCCCAAGATGAATATTATCATTATGTAGCAGAAAAAAAGAAAATAAAGAGGTTTATGAATAATATTAAGATATCAATGGAACACCAGGATTGGAGCAAGTCTATGGACAATAAAATAGGGGTTGAGTGGCTTATTAACTTAGAGCTTAGAGATGCCAAATGATCACTCTGCAAATCACATAAAAGAAACCATACTTCTGTCTAAGTGAGTTAATGAGGGGAAGGATATGTAGAATATATATGAAACACATGAAAATGAGGATCTCACAAAGTGAATAGGCACTAATTACAAAAGGAAAAACTGCTGCCTGCACTGCCAGCACTTGGGTGCCTACTGTGCAAGGATTTCCATGAGTCTGATGACTGCCAGGAGTTCAAAGTCCTGCCCCAGTTTGGAGGTAACTTCAAGGCCAGTCAAGATTTCAAAGTGAGACCCTGAGAGAGACAAACCCCACTAAAAGAATCCTGAAAGAAAATACTGTGCCACTTACAAGTCACTCCTTTGCTCTGTTCAAAAAATGACAACTGTGTAGTGTAAGAGAAGACTGATAGCTTTCACCACCTCGTGAGCAAGATGATGTCTGCAAACTGCACTGTACATAAAACACATTCATGTTACACCTTTGTTCCAGTTTGTGAATCATACAGAGAATGACAAACGGATCTCAGGAAAGAAAGACAACCTTCTATGGTTATACTTGTACATGCAACAATGACTCACGCTGCTGTTTGTGTTAAAAATATCTGAAAGAAATTGTGAAATGTTTTGTTTTTGTTCAGAGACAGATACGTATGCATTTGGATATATAGATGGTATATTTATCTACAAAAACTGTATATTGAAAAGGGAAAGATGAACTTGAAACCTTAGCATTATATAGTGAAATAACTAAAAAGGAGTTTCCTCTGAGGAAACAGGTAGCTAGCACAATTTGAAGGAGAAACTGAAGTTTATGAAAGCTTGGGAAATAAATAAAACAGGACTAAAATACTTGGATTTTGTATAGATAGTAAAGACCAATGAACACAAATCTCTAAAACACTGAAAACACATCTAACTACAAATAAACAGTGAATATAGAAGAACATTAAGTCCTGAGAAAAATCAAGGAAAACTGAGTTGTGGAAGAACACAGTCAGACTTTTGCAAAGAGGGAGAATCCGATACTCTCTCCACACTCATCTCCTTTCCTTTAGAGTTTGCTAAAATCAACAGACCAGTAACTTCTTTCTAATGTCCAGAAAATGCACTGTGCTATTACACTTCTAGACTCATGATTAATTATTAAGTAAACTTGCAAAATCCTAAACTTCATTACTAACAGAATTGATAAGAAAGTACTTTTCCTTTCATTCAGACATCAGCAATTATGAAGAGATGAAGAATTCCCACAATATATCCCTGTGCCATTTCTATAACACTTTGTGAAAACTGCACGGGGAACACCACTATCCACAGAAAAGCACACATGGTAAACTGAGGAAACACTGCCAAAGAATGAGAGGGGTAAAATAAGACAAACAAAAAAATGACTCAGTCCTATAGGGAGTTTATCACGTATATACTCTTATCCACTGCTATGTGCACAAAGATATTTAATTTATTACTATCATCATTAAATCTTACCAAAATTTGAGAATAAATGTGATATAAAATATTTAAATACCCGGAAATTTAGCTCAGCAGCATAAGTGCCTGCTGGACAAGGGTGAGGTTTAAAGTTCGATTCTAAGTACTAAAAAACAAAACAAAACAAAACAAAATCTAAATGGCAAATTATCAATAATGATGTTCATATTCATTTGCTTATGTTTGTTTGCCTTTATATATGAACATTGGCACAAATGTTGAATTTATCATGGGGACATCAGTAGTTTTCATACCCTAGGGAAATTAGTAATTCATTATTAGTTTTACAAAAAAATCACCACTAACACTTTTAAACACCCGATAGATAACAAATAACAGAAACTGATTTGAACACTAGCACAGAGTTCATAAAGTAGGGCAGTGAAGTATCTGAAACATTTACTTCACAACAATACTATGTTCACTAGGCTGTCAACACAAACCTCGAATACTCTTTTCTTCTTTCTTCCTTCCTTCCTTTTTTTCTTTCTTTCTTTCTTTCTTTCTTTCTTTCTTTCTTTCTTTCTTTCTTTCTTTCTTTCCTTCCTTCCTTCCTTTCTTTTTTCTTTCTTTCTTCTTTCTTTGTGTATGTGTTTTGTTACAGGGAATGGAACTCAGAACCTTACACTTGGCAGGCAGGTACTGTGCTGCTAACCTATGTCCCCAACTTGAAAAGACTTTTCATCATAATACTGGGAATACATTAACTCAATAAATTCAATTTCTTTCTTTCTTTTTTTTTTTTTCCGTCTTTTTACTTTTTATCAGTACCAGTGATGGAACTCACGACTGCCTGCTTGCAAGGCAGGCGCTTATGCTGCTGAGCTAAATCCCCAGCCCCTAATAAATTCAATTTTAATTCCAAATGTTGAAAACAAGATTTTGCTTGATTAAATTTTTAAGGACCAAAACCCTCCCAAACTGAAGCTTCTTCACATGAAGTTAGCCATCTTCCAAGTATAAAACTGCTCTCTTGTCTAAGGTCTCAGTACTGAGCAGAGACAAACACACTCAGTAAATTCAAGTTTGACCAATGGTTCTTTTAAATTTAAGTGTGTACTGTCCATTGAGCACAAACAAAATCTACAACAAAACATTGTGTGCCCAAAATCAAAATAATCACCACTCTGAAAATGCAAATCACAGTCCCAGTAAACTGTTTCAAGTGAAGACTGGTGTCCAAGTCAGGTGATATTTCCCATTATAAGCCATCATTCTGAAGTTCGGATAAGGGGCACACTGAGTCACATCATTAACAGACAGAAATATACTGTTTCAAAGTAGCTCTTGATAAAAAAGAAAGCAGCATTCTCTTGGTGCAGAAAACTATGGTACTCATAGATTCTGTCCTTCGGACTCTAAGCAGAATTTCACTTAAACATTATAGGGCACAGAGGACTAACTTCAAATTCATAGATATTTGTCTAGGGCAGCACCATGATTCCAAGGAAGTCTTTCAGAATGACCCCAACACACTGTCAACGAACAACATCTTCAACATTTCTGACATTAAAATTAATAACTGAGGGGGTGTGGACTTAGCTCAGCGGCATACACACCTGCCTTGCAAGCAGGCAGTCGTGAGTTTGATCCCTGGTACCGATAATAATGAAAATGACCAAAAAAAAAAAAAAATGAGTAACTGATGCTTGTTTAACAAGCACTGTGATCCTGCTTCATAGTTGTGCTGTGACCCACACTTTTGAGGGTAGAGGACACAGTGTTAAGCTAAGCCTGACCTCCACAGCAATACCCACTTTAAAAATTCAAAATAAAACCTAACACATAGAAGGCTGGATGTCACTCACAGTCACAAGTCCCCAGGTTCAGTAGCTGGGAACACATACTCAGGGAAAAATTCTGGTTCTGGAGCAGATTTTCCTACCTTCCTTCATCCCCTCCTTTCCCACACTACACGAACTCCTCTCTGTTCCTTTCTTCTTACACAGGAAATCTGTTCATGCCTTCTACTGATATGCATACACGCCTGCATGTGGTACTTGGCACCCGTGCAAAAGTCTTTGTCATCAAAGCCCTAACCTCACTCAACATACACTTTTTCGAACACTGTCTTCAGTGAATAAACTATAGAAATTATGTGATTAGTACTTTTACCTCTGCTCTAAAACATGAATTATATGTACATATAAATACTCTACTTTAAGGGATTTAAAAATGTGGGTTTAAAAGGCACATTCTCATGAATATTGTCCTTTATAACATTACTTTGGCCTCCCTCATTTCAACTAGAAACGTGTCATCTAATCATCATCATTATAAGAGCTTATTTACCTGTTATTCATTTATTGTAAGGGTCTGGATATAATAAAGGAGTTTTATTATGGTTGAAGAGGATGCCAACAATGATTTTGATTACAGGCAATATTAAATGGTGGTTTGTAAATTTTATGTAACTTGTAAATACACTTTAA